TCTGGGTCCTCTATACCCGCCCCGAACCACCTCGTCTGCTCCCAGCCCCACCATGGGAAGGGATCTCCCCGGTTCCCCCCATTCCCCCGCTCCATCCCTCCCTTGCCACGGCACAGACACAAGCACCCACGCCTGTGCACAACCACGCACCAGCGCCTGTGCACAACCACGCACCAGTGCCTGTGCACACCCGCACACCAGCGCCTGTGCACAACCACGCACCAGTGCCTGTGCACACCCGCACACCAGCGCCTGTGCACAACCACGCACCGGTGCCTGTGCACACCCGCACGGCAGCGCCTGTGCACAACCACACACCGGTGCCTGTGCACACCCGCACGGCAGCGCCTGTGCACAACCACGCACCGGTGCCTGTGCACACCCGCACAGCAGCGCCTGTGCACAACCACGCACCAGCGCCTGTGTACAACCACGCACCAGTGCCTGTGCACAACCACGCACCGGTGCCTGTGCACACCCGCACGGCAGCGCCTGTGCCTGCCGCAGGGGTGGACGAGCTGGGGGAGCCGGTGAGCTGGGAGGCGACAGGCTGGACCGCCCGCATCATCCAGCACGAGATGGACCACCTGGACGGCGTCCTCTTCATCGACCGCATGGACAGCCGCACCTTCGCCAACGTGCACTGGATGGAGCTCCTCGAGTGACACCCCCGCCGTGTCCCCGGCCCCGCACAGAGCGGCAGCACCGGCGCAGCCCGCGGGGACGCGGTGCCCATGGACACAGGCGCTCGGAGCGGCGAGGAAGGAGGTGCAGCCGGGAGCCTGAGCCCAGCTCTTCTCTGGGCACTACCGAGTGGCTGGGGACCCGGCCCTCCCTGCGCCAGCCCTGCTGCCACGCTGCGCTGGTGCCGTGCAGGGCACAGCCGGGCTCCCCCACCCAAGTCACTCTGCAGCAGGGAAGGAGGAGCCCTGAGCCAGCCCAGAGCACGAGCCAGGCTTGGAAGGGAGGGACAGTTTATTTTTAACTCCAAGGAAACCCGATCTAATTAGTGCCGCGGAGGAGGCTGAGCACCTGCGTGACCCGCGGCAGCTCCTAAGCCCAGCAGGGAGCTGAGCCCAARGGCCCAGCCCAGTGCAGGGCCTGGGCTTGCCGAGGGGCTGGGGGGGGGCCCGTGTGCGGTACGTGCCCCAGTCTCTGCGGCACCGCTTCGCCTTTGGGAAGGGCCAGGCAMCGGCTGAAGCTTTTGGATTGTTTTTATTTTCATATAAACAAGACAGAACCCAAAGCAGCATTAATTTAAAAAATAAAAAAGAGCAGGAAGAAGAGTGTGGGGGGAGCAAGGGGGGGGTCATCCAGCAGCCCAGGCCGGGCTTGGGCCCCCCCAGCCATGTCAGCGCGGCCGGGCCAGTGCCCCCCGCCTGCCCCCGCTGCCCAGCCGGCTGCTGAAAGTGAGATGGGTTTAGTAGTGAGCTGAACACGAACCTGTTTGGCACGGGGGGCAGCCCGGGGCGCAGCGAGGACGCGGCCGCCACCGCTGCTGCCGGCCCTGGCCACAGCCTCAGCCTTCCTGCCCGAAGTTCTCTGTGAACAACTTGACCTTCAGCAGGTCCTCGGTGTTGACGGTGGGGCGCGTGGTGGCCAGGGAGTGCAGCATGTCCGACTGCAAGGCAGGAGGCGGCCGAGGTCGGCAGTGAGGCCCAGATCAGGACTGGTCCCGCAAGCCCCGCAGCTGCCGCTGGCACCGGCCTTGCTGCCGGCCATGGCCACCCAAGGGCTGTCTGGGGTGCCCACCCTCCCTCAGCACCCCAGCGAGGGCAGGACCTGCTCCCTGGCCCCAAGGGAGCAGGCAGCAGGGGTGGGCTCAGCTATGGTGACGTTCCCTGGCCTTTCTGGGGAAGGTGAAAGCTGGAGCCAGGCTCCGGAGCCCTGGAAAGAGCTCTGGGGGAAGCAGCGGGGCCRGGAGTGCCGCACTGCGGTGCTGGGAGCAGCCCCGCGCCCCGCTCACCATGCAGACGATGGGCTCCATCAGCTTGTCGCTGGGCACCTCCATCCAGGTCATCTCAGTGGCGCCAGGGGCCCCGGGCGAGCACGGCGTCAGGAGGTCGTCCACRATCACGTTGGGGTTCGTGCGCGAGGGGCCTCGCACCTGCGGGGCGCGAGGGCAGAGCTGCGGGGCGGGCGGGCGCGCCGGGGCCGCAGGGCCCGTCCCACGTCCCATGTCCCACGTCCACACCCCTCCGCTCGCTCCTCACCTTCTTGAAGTGCGTGGCCGACTGCACCTTGCGGACGGGCTGCATGAGGGCGTCCCGCACGATGATGCTGATGTCGGCGCCCGAGTAGCCGTCTGTCTTGCGCGCCAGCTCGTGCACGTCGGCCTCGGTGAGGCAGTGCGGCGTGTTGCCCAGGTGCAGCTTGAACATCTGCGCTCGGGCCGCCTCCTCGGGCAGCGGGATGTAGATGCGCTTCTCGAACCTGCGCAGGGCGCGGGGATGAGGGCGGCCCCGCGGCGCGGCCGGGCTGCGGCACCGGAGCCACCCCGCCGCTCACCTTCTCCTGATGGCCGAGTCCAGCACCCAGGGGATGTTGGTGGCGCCCAGCACCAGGATGCCGTCGCTGCTGTTGCCCACGCCTGGGGGGAGCAGGAGCGTGAGGGCAGCTCGGGGGGCAGCAGCCAAGGCTGCTCCCCACGGGCCAGACCCATCCTGCTGCCCCTGTCCTGCAGGTACCCGGCACCCGCACCCAGAGCTCAGCCCCACACACCCTGCACCCACACCTGGAGCTCAGCCCCACGCACCCTGCGCCCTGAGCTCACCCTGCATCTGCACCAGGAACTCTGTCTTGATGCGCCGCGCTGCCTCGCTCTCGTTCTCGGTGCGGGAGCCGCACAGCGAGTCCACCTCGTCGATGAAGATGATGGAGGGTTTGTGCTGCCGTGCCAGCTCAAAGAGGTTCTTCACCAGCCTGGCCACAGAGAGGAGTGTGGGCTCCAAGGCAGGGAGCCCCCAGCACCCCGAATACCCCAGCAAGGCGGATAAAGTGCTCCTGCCACCCCTGGTGCCCCACGACAAGCCTGGCAGGACCCAGGGATGACAGCTCCCTGGGCAGGCCAGCGCAGCGTCACAGCCGCCAGCTGGGGCCGGGGCCAAGCCCAGGGCCCTCAGCCAAGGGGCTGCGGGCGCAGGCTGCACTGCGGGAGCTGAGGCAGCGCCTGGCAGGGCCTGCGGCTCCCACCGTGTCCCCARCGCGGCTTCAGAACCGCTGCCCCACAGCAAGGGGGTGGCAGGAGGCGGCCTCCAGCGCGCGGTACCCCCGGCTGCCGCCGCTCCTCTGCTTACTTCTCGCTCTCTCCCAGCCACTTGGATATCAGGTCGGAGGAGGACACGGAGAAGAAGGTGGAGTTGTTGGCCTCGGTGGCCACAGCCTTGGCCAAGTAGGACTTCCCGGTGCCGGGCGGCCCGAAGAGCAGAATCCCGCGCCAGGGCGTGCGCTTCCCTGCGACAGGGTCCAGCAAGGGCTCCTCCGTCACCGCGCCGCGGCCGCGGGGCCCGGGCCCGGCTCCCTGCCGGAGCAGGGCGGCCGCGGCGCCGCCAGAGCCGCTCACCGGTGAACAAGTGCGGGAACTTGATGGGCAGAATCACAGCCTCCTTCAGGGCCTCCTTGGCTCCCTCCAGGCCGGCCACGTCGCTCCACCGCACGTTGGGCTTCTCCATCATGATGGCACCTGCGGGCAGACGGCCGCTCTGCTCACACAGCCCCAGGAATCAGAGCCGCGGGGCTCCCGAGAGCCCCAGCCCGGCCGCACCGTGGGCTGCCCCGGCCAGGAGGGTGGCTTGGGGGTTGCCCAACCCCGACAGAGCCCCCGGCTGCCCCCCGGCCTGACCCTGACCACGGCCACCTATGGGGAACCCTCCGCGAGTGGCACCCCCCGCCTCTCACCCATCAGCTGCTCCTGCAGCTTCTTCTTCTCGGGGTTCTCGCTCTCGCTGTCGCTGTCACTCCTGCGCAGACGGGACGGGGTTAGAGGAGAGGCCTCGGCAGGGTCCGGCCTCGCTGCGGAGCCGGGCTGGTGCGTGGAGGGCACAGCCCGGGAGCTGTGGCGCGGCCGCGGSCCCCACGCACCCCTTGCTGTCATTCTGGGCCTCCTTGACGGGCTTCTTGCCCTGCTTGTCCTTGCTGCGCAGATATTCCTTCAGCTTCTCCGCCCGGTCCAGGTACTGCATGCACTTGGCGCGGATGCTCTCCTTGGCCTTGTCGCTGTGAGCCTCATCTGCCGCGGGGCCGCCGCCGTCACCGGGCCGCCGCCACAACCTGGCCCGTCCCGGCCTGTCCCACCCGCGTCCCCGTCCCACTCCCATCCCATCCAATCCCCCTCCTGTCCCATCCCTGTCCCCATCCCGTGCTGCTCCTGTCCCCTTTCCTACCCGTTCCCCTGCCCATCCTGTCTCCGGACCTTCTCATCGCCATCACTATCCCACCCTCGTGCCCTTCCCACCCCTGCGGCGTGCCCCCCATGCCGCCCGCGCCGGCGCGCCCTGCGGGTGCGGGTGGCCGCGGTGCTCACACTTGATGGCGTGCAGGAAGTACTCCACGGCGTGCTGGTAGAGCCGCAGCGCCTCCTCGTAGTTCTTGCCCTTGTCCTCCTCGGTGGCCTTGGTCACCAGGTCGATGGCCTTCTGCGCCCGCGGGCCGGAGCCGCCG